TGTAGATCTTTCTCTACTTTTTTAAATAAAGTTTCAACTATGGCATTTACAACAAAAAAAAAAAAAAAAAAAAAATTAAATGATAATAGAAGAATATCTTTTACTATAAGATAGATATTTTTAAATATCAGTTAGGCATTTCTAAATACAGTTAAACCTTTCTATAATCACAACCAATATAGTTACAGCTCTTTATAATTACTAATTTATTAATTAAAAGTTTTTTATACTAAGTTAAGCACCTTTGAGTCTCTAAGTAAAGTTATAAAGCTTATTAAAACAAATCTAATAGTAGTTAAATCATCAAAATCAGCCTAGTAAATGCTAATATATCTTGAAAAATATTTTGCTAACTATATAAAATTATTTGTAAAACAATACAAAGAATTTTTTTATAATTAGAAAACTATTTTTTAAAGATATCTCAGCACCTACTAGGCTGATTTTGATGATTTAACTACTATTAAATTCATCTTAATGAGCTTTATAACATTATTTAGAAACTCAATGGTGTGTTTACTTAATACAAAAAAACTTTTAGATGTAAGACAATTATAACTAATAAATTACTGATTAATATTAATTGGCTAAAGATCATATGATATTAATTTAATATTTGTTTATAGTCACATCTCTATACAATCATTACATTAGAATGTGATGAATTTAGTGATTATATAGAGGTCTAACTGTAGTAGATAGGCATCTTAAAATAATTAAAATAATAGATGCCCTCAATTTGTCACAGGGGCACGTGGGAGTGATGCTAATCATCACATGGAAATTATTAATTACATTGTGATGTTTTACTAATTATTATCATGTAATGATTTAAGGCCTCAGAGACGGGTTTTCCTAGTCCATCAACCAAATGGTTTCGGGAAAGTGGGCTGTCGGGGAATAGGTTATCGGTGAAATGACCATCGGTGAAATGGTTGTCAGATAAATGGTTGCCGGAGAAATTGGGTTATACCTACGGTTTAATGGATGCTTCGTTGAACACACACGTGACAGGACCGGAAAACTATATACAAAGTCTTCGCCGCACTATGATTCGAAGAGTACTTTAAAATATATAAATGTCACCGCCCAAAATAATTAATAAAAGTCACGTGTTGATTCGCAATAATAAGAATTTTTTCCTTTCTTGGTTTTATTACTAAATTTGGGGGACGTCTAAAGCGGAGGCAACTCATTTTTAATAATTTTTTCGATTAACTTTAGGGTTAGGGTCTTCTATATTGGGGTTAGGCTAGGTTTTAGTAGATAAATATAAGCAAAATTGCCTTCCCGACATTTTTGATTAACCTACCTGAGGTAGGTTTAGACTGCCGTTTTTTGTATTTTTCGGGTTTTTTGTTTTTTTGCTTCGCTGGCGATCATCAAAATTCTGTAATTTTATTGGCTGTTGATCACATGATGTGCCTCCGCTTTAGACGACCTCTAAATTTGGAACAGGTACATATGATTTGCATACATATCGATCGATATGATTTTTTTGAATTTTTGGGCGGCGACCTTTCCTGGTCCTCATGTGACGCGTATGTTTAGTCAAATTGTTATAATTACTTTTTTTTAAAACTATATTGATTCTCAAATGCGAATTATCCAAATTAGAGATGCTCAAAATAACGATAAGAATTTTATGAATTTGTTTTTATTTCTAAAAGCAAACTACGTATCTGTTATTAGCTATATAGCTTGAGTTTTTTTTATTAAAGATAAGAGTGTTTAAATTGGTATATTTTAATTTAGATGTAGTAAGATTATATTATTAGCAGCACTTACCGGTAGATATCTGGGATTAAATTATTATGCAATTACAATCAACTAAAATTAAAAGGCAATTGTAATTTTGGCTTTACCGTAATATAAAAGTGTTCGACTTTAAAATACTCTAATTAAAACTGAAAAAAATTAATCTCACCCATCTGCAAGTCTAAAAAAGGCCTCTATGTAGCACTTGTTCAAAGCTTTTGCGTTCATTGAAACCAATTTAAAAATAAAGATTTAGAGTAAATTGTGCAAGTCGTTAAAAAAAAAAAAGCTGTTTATAGAAACTATTTAATGAATACACATAGATAATGTTAGTTAGCATTATATCATTTTCGTATTTTATTTAAGTATGGTAAATAAGGCTCCAGACCTATGAAATAATATGCGTAAAGTTTAATTAAATTTAATATGAAAACGGTTAACAGATCCAAGTTCTACATATAAACTACCCACAATCGATATAAAATTAGTAATTCATACTGAATATTCAAGTTAATTATTAGGCAATATGTTGATCTTGGCAAAGCAATAATAACAATACGTAATAAGATTACAGACACCAAAAAAAGCAAAAATTCTATAAAATATATAAAAAATTACTGTAAGAACTTGAAAGAGAACTTTTTATTTATATTTTACAAATTGCATTCTATCAAAGATGTTGAGCCTAACTTGAACAAACCCAATTTATCAAATTAAAAGACAGAATCAAATTTTATCATTCAACTTGTTAGAATACTAGTTAATCCGTAAATTTGCATGATTTGATTAACCGGTAAGGACTATAAATGAATACAGAAATATTAATATGAAACAGTGCAACTTTAATATAACTTTCAAAAACTCAATTTAAAATTACCTTTAGCTTTAGCAAATCCAATTTGACGATTATCAAAATCAAAAACACTATAAACATTCGAGAGAAAGAAAGCGCCAACTAACCAAAATTTACGCGGAAGACTCTTCGGATTTTCCTGGATGGCAGATTGACATAATGGACCTAACATTATTTCTTGTACAACTAACTCTATAGGATTGATTTCATATGCTACACTATTGAATACTAGAGATACTACAGTTTTTGTATCACAAGGAATATACCATAAATAGCCATCAAAATAAGAACCGGGGATGTTATAATGGATATCCTTAACACATGAGGGGTCACCCCAAAGATTAGCTGTGCCTAATTAAAATAATATAAGTTAAAAATAAATAATGTAAATAGAGTTGAAATATTGAAGTATAGAAGTTCAACCAGAATAAATAAATAAATAAAGTTTACCAGTGTCAATAATAGCAGATGAATTAGTAGCACCCATTGAAGCTTTATCGACATAAATATCATCCATCATAATCGCCCAGTATCCCCAAGACCCTAATAAGTTATCAAGAATATTATTATATACAATTTCACCCACATAAGCATTTGGATCAATTCCACCAATATTCATAAAATTTTTATCACTATGATCTAATTTGTATCGTCCCAAGTGAAAGGCAACTATAGAATGAACGATCATGTTTTGATCTTTCATTGATTTAATAACACAAGGAGCTTTAAATGAGCTAAGTTGAGGAAATGCAAGACCTAGAATACCATCTTCTTCAAACACCAAGTTAAGATCATCAACTATTGCTAATCCAAAAGTTTGATTTGTTACGGTTATTCCACCAAGAGTAACAGTGTCTAGACCTATATAACCGCTGATGGTAGTTGAATCATAGCCGTAGTCTATTGTAAAACGATTTGGATGTGGAGCAGGGACAAAAGTAGGTGACTTTTTTGGATCAAATCTATTATGAATTCCACATTCTAAGAATTTACATTGAATAGCAGGAACCCAAAGATCGCTAGAACCGGTGTCAAAATTTACAGTAAAAGATTGACCACCGATTATTATTAAACCATAATAGCTACAATCCATATAATATTCATTGACTAGAGGTATTGATGTACGTGGTTCTTGAGAATTACGCTTTAATAATTTAGAATACTTGTTGATTAGCCGTGCCTGTTGTAACTTAAAACGTTTCTTATTTGGAATTGGCGTAGATATTTCTCTTTTATATAGATCAACTTTAAAAACTGCTGGTACTGCATTTATAAATGTGATAGATAGAAAGAATTCGATGAACAACGTAAGAACTAAACAACGATAAAGCATCATTATGATTTAAATTTAAATTAAAATGTAATTTGTTATAAAATTCGTTATAAAGCATATTTATACTTCTGTACGTACTGTGTTGTATTGGTGCGTATATAAAATACGCATCGTCATTTATGGGGAAATGTTAAAGCCCCAAGATTGGTTTAGGGTTACTTTTTTGATGCAATTCCTGTTCTCATTATATATAAATATCAAGAATATAATTTATGCACTATGTAGATCATTAATGGCTTTAACGGATCCCATTTACGGTAATTCATAGTTAACCTGATAAACCCAACTTTTTCACCGAAAATTATTGTCGTGTACCATTTTAGGATAAATTGTGTTGACACAAAATCGGATTTCCATTTAAAATATTAGACGAAACGGTAGGACGTGTATAGCCTATTAAAATCAAACATAAGCAGGGTCATCACTAATTGCGGATTTTTTTATGGGTATCGATGAATCTTATTTAAACAAAAATTACATTTATTGAAATAAATAATTAACTAAATATATAGAATACAGTATAACCTCGATATAACGATAACGAAGATTATTTCTAATTTTTGTGTTTAAATTAGCCCCGATATAACGAAATTACTAATAAAGATTTGATATAACGAAGAAAACCTCCAGCTCCAGAGCTTCGTTATATCGAGGTTATACTGTACTATTTTTTTTTAAATTAACCTCAAGACTAGCTCTGCACTAAAATATAGTTATTTTCTTAATATTTTTATAAAAAAATATTTAGAACTCTGATGATTAGTGTTTTTAGTTTCGATTATTAATATTTTTTTAAAAAAAAGATTAAGAAAATAGCTCTATTTCAGTGTAAAGCTAATTTAGAGATCAATTTAAAAAACTAGCATATTATTTGACTAATTATTTATTTCAATAAATGTAATTTTATTTTGTAAAATTTATAGCGATAATCATATTAATATGGGTCCGATTTACAATATCACCTTCCAACATAATAAATTACCAGTTTACCTTCGAATCCCAGAATCCTAATGTTCAAATCCGAAAGTAATTTTTGATGCTATCAGGATTTTAAGCATCGGGGTTTTAAGTATTAGATTTCGAGTAAACAGAAATTACCATTAGAAAATCCGCAATTAGTGATGACCCTGCCTATTTTTGATTTTAATACGTAGGCCATTAGCGAAACGGTAAAAGTCGAAACTAGTTTACATAATGCGTAGAATATACGTCATTTCACCGTTAGTGATGTCCAAAAAACTTACCATTTAGTGTAATACGAATTTCCGGTCTTAATTTATTATGCCCGAAAATCACCAATTTTACTAACGCTAATAAACCCGCTACCCGATGTATTAAGTAAAGTTACTCGAACGTTAGCTTGTATTAGGCTTGTATTAGTGCTTCGCAGGTCCGATCAGGTACGAATCTGAAACGTTGATAGAATTCTAGAAGCTCGTGTTACACGAAATAGTAAAATTATCTGGACATTACTAACCTACTCACCATTTCCGAGTGAAATAGTGATGGGCAAAATTTGGCGGTACCGTAATCTCCGAGCCAAATCGGAATCGTAAGCATCCATCTTGAACTATTGAGATTATGAAAATTTAATATTGCTGAAACTAAAAGTGCGGAAATTATCAAAATAACTGCATGGGGTGTTCCACGCTAAATGATTTACAAACATAGTATAGCACTATATGATCGGGGTACTATGTTTGTCGATCAATTTTTAAAAAAATTTAACATAGTAATTTTATTATAAAATTTGTATATTTTTAAAATGTTCTAAATCCTGCTCTAGTCAAGCAAATTCAATCTTGTAACTTGCAAACGATATATAAATAATGTAATTTTGAAACTATGTTGAGACATTTTTTAATTTATTTAACTAATTCGACTAAAATGACAAATTAATAAATTTTAATAGTAAAATATCAATTATCTGAATGCTTAAGTTATAGAAACCTACTAAAATTGGATACAAATATTAAATATTGCAACATAGTTTTAAAGCTATACTATTTATCAATCATTTACAAGTTGTTGAATTGAATTTGCTTTGCTAGTTCAGAAGTTAGAACATTTTAAAGATAGACTTAGGCCCATATCGCATAGTTACAGTATGATTTTCCGAAAGCTATTTCCCTAACATGTCACTTACCTGATATTACACAGGTGACAATTTGCTAAAATTATATATCTACAACTAACAAAATGCTAATCCTAACCCTATGTGATGTCAGAATATAGTTTTTGACAAAATAGGCTTTGGGAAAGTAAGAATCAACAATATTGCATTATTTCAATCACTGCGAATGCATTTGATATACATTGATAATATACATAGTTTTATATTTAAAGTAAAAATGTCTTATAAAATGAATATTATTTGAAGTTAAAAGCATGGTTAGTACTCATTTCGTATATGATATTAATATATATATTCAATTGGTCTAAAAGTGATAAAATAAATTCAATATGATTGTTTAAATGCATAGATAAGCAATTATTTAACACATAGATTATAGAATCTAAATTTTTTTTATATATTTATTTCTTGCCTTTTAAACAAATAATATAAATAGAATTCGCAAAATCAAAATTTTAAACAAAATATGTCAGTATATTTTACATTTCTTAGTTCAGCTATATAAAACAACTAATCAATTAATTATCATCAATTAAGTTGACTATAACACTATTAATAGATTAATTGACGATTCTCCAGTCAACTGAAGAATGATCATAGTAAAATGTGACACGGTTCTATATATAAATTACTATAG